TCAATTTCCTATTGCCTTTTCTTGGCGTCCTCTGTTTAGTTGTGTTATGAATAATCCTAATGTATTTGATTTTCTGTTCATTGTTCTCCCAAATCCCTTCCTCCCTCCCTATTCATTGTCTTTAGTTCTGTGTCACAGCAGAATATTTGGCTTTGTTGTGACCTTTCTTACAGATAACAATTTCATTTCCTCTTATGCCACCTATACCCTTTATACATATGTACTGCAACTCTCCTCTCCCCTGGTCCTCGTTTTACTTCCCAATGGTCCTTACTTCTTATGCATCTGTGTAACCTACATATTTGATTCACATAATTTCTATGTAGATGATTTTAATTAGAAGGCTCTCCACTTAGGATGGTAACTTTAATACAAGTAATCTGAGACTTTTTTCTTCAAGAAACCTACGAGACCATCACTTATTTACCTCACCAAGAAAAAAACTTCATTGGATCATATCTGATTGGTCTCCCACTAGTCTAGACATCTGATATGAGAACAACCACCCCCTCATGTTTTTACAAAAAAAAAGAACAAGAAGAGAACACTTATGGATTAGTGGAAGCACAAGATATCGGATTCTCACAGGCTCCAGGAAAGAAACCTCTCCAATTGATGAGCCAGGAGAACCAGGGTCACCCAAAGAAACATCAAATCAACTCTTGCTTGAATCCCACCATGAGAATTCTGGTACCTGAGTTGCCAGCTGTCTAGGATTGTCATCCTGCTCTCAGTACAAATTGATGTCATATCCACAGGCACCCAAGATGAGCTCAAAGAAACCAGCAATGAAGTTCAGTGTCCAAAACCAGCTTCTTGGTAGGTTTTCTTATCCAAGATTTATCATGGAAACAATTGTCTCCCAGGGCATACATTCAGAGAAGCAAAACACACCTATTTTTTCCAAATGGACAAATAACAACCATGCTTTGGCATCTCATTGTCTACAGTAACACAGCCTCCTCTAAGGACCAAGTCTTTCTCTCAGAACTGCCATAATTTAGAGGAAAATGACATCCTTGGCTAAAATTCCAGAAGTAGTGTCCTTTTTTGGGACTTCGTTGTGCCATCTTTCTCTGTAGAGAGTGATGATCAGAGTCACATCTGCTTCAATACAGAAGAATTTAGTATAAACAGAATTGACTGAAGAACTGAGCAGCAGAAAGAATCCAGAGAAGCCATGTTCTGAATGTGGAGCAGCCTCTGATAATATTTGGAGAAAGACACTGCATATTCATATATATGGTATCTGAAGTGAAGTCAATGCTAAAACTGAGATGTAATGTGTTGATAGAGCTTAAGGAGTTACTTGATCAAGACACCGATTTGAGGTGTCAAACCCCAATAAAGAACAGATCATGTCTGTAGACTCCAAGACTCTGAAGTTTCTTGTCTATGATCATTTTTTGTAAACCATCCCACTGGGCCATCCCATTTCTAGCCATAAACCTTATACCTAAAATCTGCAGTCTCATTCAATAAATGATTCTCCAACTAATTACACCTTGTGGAGTTGTTGTTTATGTCTTTTGGAATAGATTCAACCACACATAATCTGTATTGATGATCAGGGTCCTGCCTCAATGAGCATCAAGCCCCGTTTTGTCCAGATATACTACTTACATGAGAGAAACTCTAATACACTTAATATCAATTACAAGAAATTTAAAATGTAGGTCCTCCAACGGACAGAGTGCTTTCTGTCCTCGGGATGGTGCCTGAGCGCTGCTCTGTCCCAAACCTTCCCCATCAGCACCTGCTCACTTTTTCCCAAGATGCCTCCAGACAAGAGTGAACCTGCCCAGACTGGAAGGCCCACCCTGAGTCTGGACACACCTCATCCATGTCTGCCATCCGCCTTCTGCACTCTGACTACCGCCTGAGTGAGTCTGGGAACTTCTCTTCCACCAACCTCCCCCATCAACACCTGCTTGCTTCTGCCTGACTTTCCCTGCTGGACAAGAATATTTAACCGAGCTGGGAGGAATGACAGAAGGTGATCAGGTTCAGTGGTGGTCCCGGTTCCTAACGTGCACAGGGCCCAACACGGAGTGGGGTGTTGTTGAAGGGACATTTTATATGCCTGCTTTTCACCCAGACTCCTCAAGAGTCCGGTGTGCATTTACTATTCCCAGTGCTTGTCTCTCCATTGGGAGTGGGCAGTACGGTCTGCCCAGAGCGGGCCGTGGTGCCTCATGCCTGTCGCCTCAGCCTGTAGGAGACAGAGAGGACTGCTGTGAAATAGAAACTAGCCTGGGCTACAGAGTTCCAGGTCTGGATTGGATTATAATGTAACTTTGCCTCAAAAAAAAGTCTTTTCCAGCCACAAGTGTCAGCTTGTGTCTTTGCGGTTCCCTTATCACTTACCCGAGAGTTGTGGGTGTTTGGGGCTCTTGTCTGTCCGTATCCAGAGTCCTGGGGCTGCAGTGGACAGCGGTCTCAGGCTGGGTTCCTCCCCATTCTTGGAGCATCTCCCAGCTTTGCCTCCTGTGCCTGGTTAACCTGGCTCCTTCCTTTCACCTGCAGGTGACCAGAATGGAGCTGTGGCCCGGGGCCTGGACAGCGCTGCTGCTGCTAGTGCTCCTCCTGCTGTCCACCCTGTGGTTCTACAGCCCCTGTGCCAAGTATTTCTTCAAGATGGCCTTCTACAATGGTTGGATCCTCTTCCTGGCTATACTCGCAAACCCTGTGTGTGCTGTGCGGGGACGCAACGTCGAGAACATGAAGATCCTGCGTCTGCTGCTGCTCCACATCAAATACCTGTATGGGATCCGAGTGGAGGTGCGGGGGGCTCAACACTTCCCTCCCACGCAGCCCTACGTTGTGGTCTCCAACCACCAGAGCTCCCTCGACCTGCTTGGGATGATGGAGGTGCTGCCAGACCGCTGTGTGCCCATTGCCAAGCGCGAGCTACTCTGGGCTGTCTCTGCCGGGCTGGCCTGCTGGCTGGCAGGAGTCATCTTCATTGACTGAAAACGCAGTCCCCCTACTCACTCTGACCACGCCCTCACAAGCCCTCAGGTACTCTTGTAGCCAGCCCCTAAGAATCTTATGAAGATGATAGAGAACATTAAATAGGAAACAAGAAATCACCTTAAAGAAATAAAAGAAAAAAAAGCAAAAATTTACATGGAATGGAGGAAAAGACAAAACAAACATTCAAGAAACAAACAAATCTCTTAAACAATGTAAGGAAAGCCAAGAAAAAAAACCAACAAACAAGTGAAGGAAACAATTCAAACAATTCACAGTTTCAAAGCACAATTAGAAACATTAAAGAAAACACAGTATGAAGGGATGCTGGAATTAGAAAAGCTGGGTAAATGATCAGGAACCACTGATGTAAGCATAACCAATAGAAAACAAGAAATGGGAGAGAGAAACTCAGATGTTGATGACTCATATGAGGATGTACAGTCATTGACCAGAGAAAATCTCAAGTCCAGCAAATCTTGATCACAAAATATCCAGGAAATATGGGACACTATGAAAAGACCAAACCTAAGAATAGTAGGTATAGAAGTTGAAGAAATTCAGCTCAAAGTTATAGAAAACTCATTCCACAAAATCATAGAACAAAACTTCCCCAACCTAAAGAAGGATATGCCTGTGAAAGTAAAGAAGCTGACAGAACAGAAAATAGATTGGGCCACAAAAGAAGTCCCCCTCACAACATAATAATCAAAAAACCCAACTTACAGAATAAAGAAAAAAATATTAAGAGCAACAAAAAGAATGCCAAATAACACACAAAGGCAAACCTATCTGAATTGCACTGGACTTCTAATGAAAACATTGACAGCCAGAAGATCATGGATAGATATTCTACAAACTCTAAGGGAACATGGAAGTCATAATAGACTTCTTTATCCAGAAAAGAATTCAATTACTATAGATGGAGAAAACAAGATATTCCATGACAAAACCAGATTTATGCAAAACATATCCACAAATTCAGCACTACAGAAATTAATGAAAGAAAAACTCCATTGTAATGAAAATAACTATGCTGAAATAACCATAAGTGATTGATAATCCCACTTTACCAAACACCAAAAAATTGGGGAAATCCACAAACAATGACACCACCACCATCTAATCCAGAACAAACAAGAATGAAAAATACCAAGTTACACAACCAAAACACTTGTTCAATGGACTTATTTGGGTCTTTAAACATTTTTTCATGTACATTGTTGTTTTGAATACATTTATATCTGGGTGAACATGCCAGATCCCCTGGAACTGGGGTTATACATAGCTGTGCACAATCTGAATACTTGGAATTGAACCCAGGTCCTGTAGAAATGCAGTCAGTGTTCTTATCTTATAAGCCAACACTCCAGGCACTGACTTACTCAATTCTATACAGGGTGATTGATTGTCAGATCAGACTCTGTGATCCCCTATGAGCCATGGCTATTTCATCATGGGGCCTAATCTTCCTGGTATCTTAGAAACCTCTGGCTACTACAATTATCTCTGACAATTCCCCAAGATTTCTATGTGGAATTTCTTTCTCATTGTTGTCCAAACTCATTTACCAGTTAAAATCCCACCATCCATGTCACAAAAGCAAGCAGTTCACAGAAAATTCAATGGAAGCCTGGGAAATATTGATTTAACCCCAGTGTCTAAATAAAGGAAATGATCTGAGTGCAGAGGTGGCATGTTTCTACTACCTCTCCATTCTGGGAGGAGGAGGCAGGAGTGCTAGGAGCTTCAGCACATCCCCTCTGTCTAAAGAGAAAACAAAAATTCATGCATCACACACTTCAGTTGGCAGGTGAACAAACTCTTGCACCAACACCAGAATTTGACCTGAGGTTCTTTGGACACTGGAGGACCAATTTCCCCAATGCCACAGATTCTGCAATATCCTGGCCCTTGTTTGCAAGGCTACCTCTTCCATGATGTATCAATTTTAGGTCTGAACCAAAGGTTCACATTACAGTGATAAGTGGGACTTGGTATGGTAACCGTGTATCATCAGGGCTATGAGTGACAGGTCTTGAAGCAGTTTTAGGCAGAGCTCCTCAGGAGATGGACCTGAGCTTTGAGAATTCTTTGGGCTGCAGGCTGCAACTGAGGTGGAAACTTGAGCCTGGGTTGAGGTTCTACATGCATCTATTTCCTCAATTGTGGCTTCAACAGCATAGTGTTGGCAGCTGCTCCTGCTGTAGGCCTTGGCCATACACAATCTCTACTTGTGGACTAATAGCTCAGGCTGTGCTACATCTCATGGTAATCTTATATCTGCAACTCCTAATTGCACCTCCACCACATCCAAGATCAGCACAAAAGAAAAAAAATCCCCCATTTATAGCAGCCTGGGCAAGGATGTCTAAAATATCAAATGCCCTGAGACCACCTATAGAGGAATAAAGAAGACAGCACAGAGGAGCCTGCTGTGAGTCATCGTCAGGCAAATGTCACCATTCCTATCTGGTTCTATTTCATTCACACTTTTATGAGGACACCCCTTTTTTCTGTTCAGTGGAAGGGAGCCACTATTCCCCTTGTGAAAATGACACCACATATAAATTCAAACAAATAGATAAGTCTGTACCCAAGAATACCTTTTCCAAGATCGTCGTATTAATTAACTTCCGTTGCCCTATTCTTCAAAAGATCTGGCGTTCACTCACATAAAGAATTTTCTGGTTTTGGATCTATTTATGTAAAGTAGTATTCTACACTTCTCAGAAGTCAGTCAGAGTCTTCTGTAGTTTCCCTGCTAGCAATCCCATTAAATTCTAAAGGTCATATTTTCATTGAAAATGAAGGCTCCCCAAGATTGTAATCCCAGTGTCCCTGGTATTAAATAGAGACCAGAAAATTTTCAGAAGCTGGTCAGGTAGCAATGCTAGTAAAAAATAAACAAGGACACTCAAGGTTTTCCATTAAACACCAAAGACATGCTGTGGCACACATGCTCTCTCACACATTTTATACACACACACTCACACTGGAAAGAGAAACTTGTTCAACTATGTTTATTGCCACCCTATTCACAATAACAAGAAAACAAATGAGCCTTGATGTCCTGAGGACATGCAACACATGTCAGCTCACCCTAGATATGGAACCCATAACAGACTGAAACTCAGATGTCACTAAAATCCAATTTGTCGAAAAGATGAGTTTCACTGGAGTTACATACAGGGATATGGATGAGGGGTTACATAAAGGAGACAAAATTAATCAAAGACAACTGCGTCACTGAAGTTCACCCAAGCACAGGTGATAACTCACAAAAAAGGGAAATCTAGTGCACACTGCACAGCCTGCAGCCACCTCAACAGGATGAGAGTGTTCCTTCCAAGAGCCTCAGTTGTTCTAAACATTTTCCAAGAATCATGGCTGCTTTCTTCTTTTCTCAGGTAACTGGCCTCATTTCAGAGTAATCCATTTATTCCTTCCTAAATATTTTGCCTCTGGAGGGAGTGGCTCCACCTATCTAGAATGCCCGGATGGCCATGTCCGACTTTAAATGGGGCGTCATGCAGCTTTGCCAGGTGGTCAGGAAGACCAAATACACTCTGATAGATGAGCAAGACATCCCAGTGTTGGAGAGCTACTCCTTTGAAGGTGGAATGGAAGTAGAAGCTGATGGAAATGATGGTAAAATAGTAGCATATGCCTTCATTAAAAAAC